AAGTGCTGTTAACATTTTTTTTATTCCATGGTCATACTGAAAACAAATTTTCTTCTTTACAATAATAAAATTTTAACTTTTACAGAATAAAACATGTTAACCCACATAACCTTCATCACTATCATTTAATAGGAATTTTTTTTTTTTGGCTTATTAATTTCATTTAATTGTTCAGATCGACTTTTAACCAGTTGTTGCTGTATATCTTCTAATTTAAAAATGTCTTAATCTAATTCTTCTCCTGCAATACTTTCGTGTTTTGTTAAATATAGGAATAACAAAATACCATGATAAAAAACCTAATCTGAGAATAGAACTTTGTATCAATAAGTATAATTTTTTGTCTTATCTCAATTCTATATTTAATAATATATTGGAATACAAAAAATATGAAAAGTTTATCACTAATTGTTTTTGGCCTAATNTGGAATACAAAAAATATGAAAAGTTTATCACTAATTGTTTTTGGCCTAATATCAAATAATATTTTTTTTATAATAAAGTGACTAAAATTCAAACAGTTTTATTTTTTTTTTTTTTTTTTTTTCGATTATTTCAATATTTTAAAAATAATTGATATCGTAGAAAAAATGTAAAAAGTCAGCAATATCGATATCGACATTGTAAATGAACCGAAATAATTAATATCTGATATATTAAGAAATTTATTTACCTAAATAAAAAATCCCTTAACAAAGTCAATAATGTATATAATTTAATGTAGTTTATTATTATTACGCTTTTACATAATGAATTAAAAATTAAAAATTATTCGGCTTGGCTATCGGGATCAGTCAACTTTAGTGTTTTGTGTCATTCATGAGACTCTGTACTTGGTTGTCGCTGTCCGGCTTACTGCATAAAGTCAAATCTTTGATTTTCATTTTTCCCCTATCTACTCTCGTCCTCGACTATTCAGAGTTATACACTGTAAGATTTCAATTCATATTAGACCAATTATAGTAGATCCCAACTCCACTGTTTTTTTATTTTATTTAGAAGTATAAGTAATTGAAGAAATAATAAAATTGTCAATATACTGTAGTAAATCAAAAAGATCACCACTTGTATTAACTCAAAAAGAAAGAATGAAATAAATTAAATATGATAAAATATAATTAAATATTATAACTCGGGGTATGAGTTCAAGGGTCTGTAAAAAAGATAGAAGATAATAGAAAAATAAAGTGATCTTTGTTTTATTAATATGGGAACTATTATAATTAATTATCAATTCTTATATAGCAATTATGACACGAGTTTTAACGGTTATCGATGATATTAATCGTAATTTATTACATTTTCATCAATAATGATCTCTATATTATATAATATTATCATATCTTATATAATATTTTAGACATAGTATATTACTCTACATCTTATGTGCTACCATTACATATTGTTATTATTTTCTGTTTGTTTTATATAATTAATAAATGCATTTTTCTACGAATTTCATTAGTATATTTAAATATTTAAAAGGTACATATATATATATCTTATTTTTATTGGTATACATTTCATTTTGTGTGATTTATTAATTGAAGTCTTAAATAATACAATATGACATTAATGATGTATTGTGTATATTACAAATAATTCATTATGACTTTATTGTGTACTGTGTATATCATTACAATACGTAACTGATAAGGGTCATAAATTTGAATATAATTTTATTAGAGGATTTAAAATGTATAAGTCTTTATATTTTTGTAATTATAATGTTATTGTGTTATGAATTTTTACTTAGGTTATTTATGAATAATGATAAATCACAATTGTCATATTGAAATTAGAAAATTTCAAATAATTATTTAAATAATGTTTATTTTAGATTAAATATCATGTGATACAAAGCAAAATGATTTTAAAATAAATGAAAACTTCATAAATTGACGTTAATTTCATATTAATATTATTTTAAGGTATATGTCCATTATTGTAATAAATTTCATAATATCTAAAATATGATTTAAACAAGTGTTTTGGATTCTATTTTCAAAATACATGAAATTAATTAATTTATTTACATTATGGCAATATAAAAGGGGTTAATAATATTCGATTTTTATTATAGTTATTTTCGTTTTACTCTATACAGACAATTCAGTAGTCTATACCAAGTAAGTATTTATAATTAAATATACCTTAAAAATTTTAGTAGTATTATATTGTTAAAATTAGTAGTATTATATTGAGAAATGTTAAAAAAAATTCAAAATAGTCATATTATAGAATAAATTCTAAGAAAAGTTTGGTGAAAAAATATCTCATTAATGTTTTGTAATTAATTTTCTGTATCATATTAAATTTTGTGAAAATTCAAATTTTTCAATAGTTATTCTACGGTATCAAACGCTAGCTATGTTTTATAAAAAAGGACAAAAGTAAATTTAATCTTTTTACACTAAATATGATATGTGTATCATATTTCCACGGCTTTTTCCACGAAAATTGTTAATGTTATAATGACTTACTTTAATTCAAATAAAAACACGAACAATACCTATTACTTAAAAAGTAATTATATCTTTTTAGAGATGAAACAACTTATTCTAACTAAAATTAGAATTTATTTATCACGAGTCAAGATTTATATTATACTAAGTATAAGGTCTATTATATTTATAAATTTGGTATTAATACGATGATAAGAAATTTGATAAAGCAATTATTACTTATCATTCAAAAGCGCAAGTAATTTTCAAGTAAAAAGTTACACTCCTCCAAATTACATTCATCATGAAAAGATAGTGTTTACTTCTGTCCTTTTCTCAATACGTATTTAAATGTATAATACCATAAAATAATACATGACAATTCAAACTTTTACAAAATTTAAAATGCTGCAGAATATTTATTACTGCATATTTATAAGACATTTTATTACCAAATTTTTTTTTAATCTACTCTATAAAATAGCTATCTTAGATTTTTTTTTTTACATTTTATTTAAAATTTAACAACTTGTTGATATTAAACGCTTCCAGTTTGTTGGACTTAACACCACAACGATAACGTGTGTGTGTAACGGTCCGGTTTACATAGGAGTGATGGGTTATACGACTGCGGGTTGTCAATGAAGATGAATAAAGTCTGAGATTTCATTTAACTAAATACAAGAAAAGGTATTCTATTCATGTCTGAGCAGACAATTAAAACAAAATAAATCCGATTAGACTGTTATATGAAATTATTTATTGATAGTAAAATCATTATAAAATTTACAATGTTGAAAATACATTTAAAAGAAATTAATATTTTTAACTGAAATATTATGTGTAATATTATTACACATATTAATATTAGGTGTAATATTATTTTATTTATGCTTCTTTTAATATTTGAAATTACTTAAAGTGGAACTGATTCAAGGTTGACAGATTTCAATGGCACTGAATCTAAATTTTTTTTAAATATTATTTTCATATAAATGTATAAAGTTTGTATTTCAAAAAAAAATTAAATTAGTATCTTAATAAATATTTTATTAAGATACTAATTTACAAAAAATTAATTTTACAGAAGAAGGAAAACGCCGTTTCCAATTACAGCATAAAATTATGATAGAAGTCATTTGGTTTTGGACTTAATACCTTCACGTGTCATCACTTCATTTAATAAAACAGAGTTTATTTTTTTGTAAAGGCTTCATGTATAAAAATAGATTAGAATTAACTTAAATAACAATATTAATAAATAATACTCACCAGCTCTGCTGCCATTATTACAATTACATTGTGGCCCCAACGGTTTGGAATCATTTGTTTGGTCTATTTCATAAATCAAATAAAGTAATGTTAGTTATAGGTTTTATTAAAAAATATATATATTATATATATATATTTTATCTATTTTAATTTACAGTGAGATATTATGAAATAATAATATTTTATGTACATTTTTTCGACAAATTCTTTAAATTGTATGAAACTTGATAATATCTTTGATTTACCTTATACCACTAATGCTTAATTATCCAATTATTAAATAAAAAAATATATACATCAAAAACGTTTTATAATTTATACAAATTTTGAAAATAGCTGAGTAATAAAATCTTTGTCGTAAAAAGATATATTATCTTTTTCATAGATAAATACAATTTGATATCTAAGTTTGTAAAAACAAGATATAAAACACATCATAGTAAAATTAATTCCCACTCAGCTTCGCATCGAAGCTAATATTTTCTAACCAAAATTATAATAATTTCTGAAAAATTGTTAAATTGTACTACCAAAGAAGTTATCAATATTTAATAATATTTTTTTTAACATTAGTTATCAAAAAAGTGTATCGTACATAAATAATTAAACTAATTTTTGAAATAGATGAGAATTTGCTATATGGCAATTTAAACCTCCTAGACATATTAGTTCAAATAGCGCTTACGAGGAAAAATTTTATATTTAATTTATATAAATTAAAATTATTATTAATTAATGGTAACGTCTTACCACCATCGGCCAATCCATTTGAAAACGAAAGCATGCTTATTACGAAACATACGAAAAGAAGAACGTTAAAGAATTTCATTTTGATTTATCTGCAACATAACATTTAAATTATAAATTAAATAAAACTAGCCCAATTACATAAGTTTTAATAAAATTTATTTTTTATGTTCAATATTCGTCTATTTTAAGCGTATAATTGATTTCTTATATAATAGTTAATCTCTATCCTGTCACTCACCTTGTAACCACCTTAAATGCTAATATCTTTAAAAATATAATACTACTAAAATTTTTAAGGTATATTTAATTAAAAATACTTACTTGGTATAGACTACTGAATTGTCTGTATAGAGTAAAACGAAAATAACTATAATAAAAATCGAATATTATTAACCCCTTTTATATTGCCATAATGTAAATAAATAAATTAATTTCATTTCAATTTTTGAGTGCTAAAATTAAAAAAATATGAAATGAAAAAAGAAAGGACATCATTCTTTGTGAAATTTTTAAATATTTTCTTACTTAAATTACGAGACATATTCATTAATATGTTAANTGAAATTTTTAAATATTTTCTTACTTAAATTACGACACATATTCATTAATATGTTAACAAATTATATATTCACGTAGAGTGAACTTAAAATTAGCCTCCTCATATTTTTTTTAATTTATCCTGTAATTGTTTACAGTTAGAAAAAGTACTTAGCTAGGAAATGTTGACTATCTTCACGCATATAAAATATGATTCCATATTTTGTAATGAAGGTATTTTATAATAGTGTTTTTGATCACTGAAAACTCTATCTTTAATGATTTTTACACCTTTTTAATTGATACAAGATGATCTAAGAAGCTCTCCAACTACAAAGTTTGATACTATCAAATTGGGGTTTAAATAAATACTTCAATAAATAAATATTAATAATAATTATAACCAATATTTAGACTAGGCACAAAGATTGATTTTAGACTTAAATTAAAAACTAAAATTTAAATTGATAAGATCTTATCATTCTATTTAATTTACCATTAAAACTATAATTTTCAATACGAAAAACTCATAAAAAGTGAATTTTGATCCGGAATTAAATGGTCTTTTCAAATTATTCGTTTTGAATTTCAGGAAAATCTAAAAAAAATAATCCTTAAAAAACAATTGAATTTAAAAATAAAAACAACGTCATGATATTTACGCGTAATTTCGAGAGGGATTAAATTCAATGTTAATAATAGGACTTCAAGAGTATTTAAACTTAAAGCTAGGATACTTAAAAAATGAATTTTGTCTTTCTATTTTATAAATAAAACTGGACTGAAGAGGAATCTAATTATATTCTAATCTTGATCGCACTAAAGAGAAATATAATATATTTAGACATTACAAGTCATTTAATTATTATCAATGCAATTTAATGAATCGTAACTTATAAATTGCTTTATTATAAATGTACAATACATTATCAGTAAAAGAAAAATTTATAGAAATTATAAGGACATCTAGCTGTCCTTTTCCTATTAAATGGAGTAAATATGTATATAAAGTTAACAAATTAATAGAAGTTGACTTTATTACTTAAAATTCATGTGGGTTGTTTATATAAGTGTTATTTAAACATTTTATAATTAAGGCTCAATTAGTTTTCAAAAAGCTTCGATAATTACTTGTAATAGTATGGTAACCTATTTATGAATTGAGTAGACGAACATTTTAAAACTTTTAGTTCCCCTTGTTTACAACTAATCAAAAGAATCAAGTTTTAAAAAAATATACTTGATAAAATCATAGTACTAATAAAAACAATTATTTCGATTTATATGATAGTGGTATCAAAAATACAAGTAATATGCTTTCGTAAACATTACATTACTACTCAAGCAGTTCCCCAAAAGAAATTCTGATATGGATTCCGGCGGCTTTCTAATTAGAGATTGAAATAATATAACATATTTTATACTAATTCAATCTTCATTTAGATTTATTTATGTAAGGTTGATGGTATATCCCGTTTCGCTGCGCTACAGTGTCGGTGTGATCGGGCTCTACGGGGCTTCGAAACATCGACATGAGCGCAGTGTCCCTAGCTCGGGGAATCGGGCGCGTCCTCAGGTTGCGGATAGAGGAACGGCCTGCAGATATGCAGGTTAGCCGCGAAATAAGCGGTCCATTCGTTTGGACTGACGAATAAGCGGTCGCGGACAATGAGCCCCTCGTTCGCTCGTTAACACTGCAGATATGCAGGGTAGCCGTGATATAAGCCACTTCTTGAGTGGATGAATAAGCGGTAGCGTTTGAGGGAACTGTATAACAGGTGGGTGGGCTCGATAGCCTGGTAAGGCGACCACCGAAAACAAATCTCCTGCGCGGAAGGTAAAACGCAGGGAAGGACACTATCACAAAAATACAGTTACCGCTCCAGGAGTTTTGTAGACTCCAGGGCCGGCAGGGAAGAGTGTAATTGCAGGCTCGACCCGGTCGTTATCCAGCGACTGCATCGAAACCATGGGACTGGTGAGGCAAGGTCCAGGGGGCGTTTGCGCCCAAGTTATTGCTGGGGGATGTGGCGAGCAGGCATCCTTATCGGCTCATTAGGAGCGTCAGCTCCATGAATGACATAGAACAGACCCGTACCCCGGAGGAGGACGTGCCAACTGTCAATTCGTCGACGCAGACGGATCCTCCAGAGGATACGGTCAGTGTCGTGGATCCGGACACCGAGTTCGCCAAGCCGACAAGTCTCAGCGCGATTGTGGCACCCGTCAACCAGCCAGCCACCGCGAGGACTGGTAAAAAGGGTCCTTAAGAGTGGATGAGACAGAGGAGAGGGGATGCGGGAGGGGAGACTGCCCACCGTTGGGTTTCAAACTGTGGTAACGGTAGCGCCAGTCACCAGGTCGGAGGTTACAAGGCGCAATACTGCGGTACTAGGGGTGGACCCTCGCCCTAATCTTGGGCTCCCCGCCTCGACGTGGAGACCGTTGATAAAGGCGAAGGCCCCGCGGACCGTGACTGTTATTATTGGTCCCCTCAAAGAGGACCAAAAATACTTGGCCGTGGTTAAAACTGTTATGAATGCGGTTAACCTCCAGGCGCTGGGCGTCGTGGTCTCCGGTACCCGCAGAACAGTCGGGAGCGGTGCTCCTGGAGGATTGGGGTACTGGGCCCAGGCCGACCTGCTGGCCGCCATGGTCAGAGAGGCACTGGACGGCTAGGACGTCCGCGTACATCACCCAGCGATGTTCGTGGCGTTCATTCTGTTGGACGTGGAGGAATGGATAGTGGAAGAGGACGTCGTAGGGGTGTGTTCTGTGTTTTGTGAATTTTTTATGCGAACCCATAGCAAAGTCCTACCCCCACCTCCACGTGGTGCGGCCTGGGCAACGGATCCCACTTTAGGGTCCGGCTAACGGGGGAGACCACGTCGTGTTGTGGACTCAGCTCTTGATTAATTTCAGGCTGAATCACAACACGGTGGTGTGAATTTCAATGCGATGTTGTGCGCCCTGAAGCAATACCTCACGGTAGTTCCAGGGCGTCCAACACTATGTCGACTGTGAAAAAAAAAGGTTGATGGTATATAATCTTCCAGTTTTTTAAATTTTCTAAAAATCAGATATGTGTTCTCTTTATGAATAAAAATTCCTTCAATTTGTCTGACAATAACTTTCGCTTCACGTTTTGATTTTTGTTCAATTATATAAGTTTTAGTCAGTTCTAATTACAACAATCAATTAAAATCCATAGTACGAGCTAGCCTATCTTTTTATTTTCTTTACAATCGTGAATAATTTTTGAACAATAAAAAATATGTTTGGTGTAAATTTGTTTATTATTTTATTATAATATAGTTTAGGAAATCCTACAAATATAATATTTGATGTAGGCTGAGTGATGCGAGGCACCAACTATTAACTCTCTCTCTCACTGAAACAAATAAAATAACTTTAATTTTGATATTATGTCACACAATTGGTATCCAAGTATACAGATTTTGGTTACATAATTGAATTAAAACTATCTAGTAGGCACTACATTAATACCTTCTCATCTTCATATTGAAAAATGTGATAGATGAAAAAGATATCCCAAATAACCAAAGTGTCAATTTAGGAACACATTGAAGTCATTATTTTTTTTAGTTATGTTTAAATATTTAATTAAAATATCAATATTCATTCTCTTTAATCATTAATAAAATAAAATTGATCATTACTAATATTTGTTGGCCATAACAATTTTTTTTGAACAAATATGCTCAAATCATTCATTATTTATAAAAAATTATTGGTAAATTAATAAGATATATCTATATGTGAATGAACAAAGTTTAAAACTCCTTTGTCTATTAATTATTATTATCTAGCCTAAGACACTTCTATTGTTTCCACACTGAGTTTTTCACAGCTCTCTTATGCTTCATATTAATAGGACTAACTTTACATAATTTATTTAACTAAGTACAAGTAAGGATTATCTATTCATGACTGTACAGATAATTGAAATAAAACCAATCCGATAGACTGTTATGAGAAATTTTATTATGGAAACAAAATCATTATAAAATGTATAACAATTTTAATTATGAAATTTATATAAATTGATATTTTAACTGAAAATTTTATAATATTGTTGAATTAATGTTTTTTTCATATATTTTGAAAATGTTTAAAGTGGAACTGATTAAAGGTTGACGGAATTCAATGGTACTGAACCTTTAGTTTGATCATCATCTAAAAAAAATAAAGTTTAAATAAATGACAAATTTTTAATAAAATTAATTTAATAGTTTAAATTCGATTCTTTCTTTATAACAAGTTAACTTTTTATTTTTGAAGCAAAATATAAGACCAAAAAATTTATTTCAGAATAATGTTTAAATTGGTTTAAAAAGTACATTTTTTTATATAAAAAACGTACGAGAATTCAGAGATTTAGCTAAAATAATAATTACGCTATTTTTGAAATTGATTGAATTAAAATAAATAATTACCATCAAGAGCAGTACTGTCGTCATCACCCGGTTTATGTTCGTTTACCAAAGGTTTACTTTCAATGTTACCTGTGAGAATATATTTTATTGAATTATTAGCATTTTCATCTAATCTTAGATTTGGAGGAGCCAATTTTTAAACTTTTAAAGAAATTAAATATTTTATAAAACTCTCACAATACAAGAATATTATAAAAAATAGTTTATAAATGCTTATAATATATTTGTACTATAGTATTATATTAAGAGAAAAATCTTATAATAGATTATTACTCATATGCACGAATAAAGTTAATTACTACCTACATTTAATTAATAACTTTAATTGTTTATGTGTAAATATTTTACGTAATTTCATTTAAAATTATTTTCACAAATTGCTAATTTTTAATTATGTCTAAATAATTTTTATCTTACGCAGGGATGAAGCTGAGACAATTGAAAAGGAAACGATGCACATGACAAAACACAAAACAAAAATGATGTTGAAGTATTTCATTTTGAATTTTCTGCAAAATTATATAAAAATCAAATATATATTTGTTAATTGTTTCAATTAATTTTGTTATTATAAAATATGTAATAATATGTATGATTATAATTGCACTCATTTTGGGTCAAAGTTTATAGAGATATTGTAATAGCGACTTAGTGATATTTACTTTTTCGCGCTGTAATAAAATTGGAGCGTGAGTATCTCTATCCTGTCACTCACCTTGTAACAATCTTAAATGCTAATATATTTAAAAAACTAATACTACATAACTGTAAAATTGTTGGCTACTCAGTTATATTCTGTTAATCAATAAAATTATACCTTATTGTTTTTTAGTAATTGTGTTATCGGACTCGAAAACAATTTTTAGAGATATTTAATTAAAAATAATTACCTGATATTGACTACTATATTATCTGTATAGAGTACAACGAAAATAACTATAATGAATATTGAATATTAATGACCCCTTTTATATTACCTTAATGTAAATAAAAAAATTAATTTCATATATCTTGAAAATAGAATTCAAAACACTTGTGTAAATTATATTTAAAAATAATGAAATTTATTGCAAAAATGAACATGTACCTTAAATTAATATTAATATAAAATTAATTTCCTTTATTTTAAAATCTACTTGCTATGTATCACATGATTTATAATCTAAAATAACTATTGTTTAAATTATTATTTCAAATTTTCGAATTTCAATATGACAATAAATCACAATGATTTATCATAATTCATTAATAACCTAAGAATAAACTCATAATGCATTTTCATTATAATTACAAAAGTACAAAGACTTATACATTTTAAATCCTTTAATAATATTGTATACAAGCATACGAATAGAACATTGAACCAAATGGCATCTAATTTTTTTATGTATGTTTTAGAAATACAGTCCATTTTAGTAATACGAGGTAATTTACGAGCTAGTTAAAAATTGTTTTTTTTGCCCGTTAAATTTTTTATAACCTTTAAGTCATCAAATTTGCGTAAGACACCTCGTATTTATTAAAAATCATAGCGATACGTAAATTTAAAATTTTCATATTCTAACAAAAATAGAGAAAATTTCTTCAAATTAACAATAATTAATATTATAGATATCGGCATTGAAATATTTGCCACACTATCTACATAATACTCAAACACACAGATAAAAATATCCATTAAAATATAGCTCAAACAAGCTATATTTAATCCAAAGAGCATGTTAGATGAAAGGAAGATACTAAGTATCAATATTCATCAAATTACTTAAAAAAAAAACAAACAAGTCTTTGTTTGACTTGACATTAAAAAAAAAATAATGGGTATTAGTTTTTATTTTTGTTGTTAATTTAGAAATTTTATTTGTTTTCCCTACATGCAGCTGAAATGGACACAATCCGCCTAATTTTGTTTGGAATCCTACTTTTTGACGAAATTTTAAACGGACTGACGACCTGGCGAAACCTCATTAGTTGCCTTTATGACTGGCAGAATGGCCGTGGAAGTATTGTTGTCATCTATCCGTGGGGATAAAAAAATGTCCAAGTTCAGTTATAAAATTTTATAACGTTAAAATTTCGATTTTTTACCGCTTCCTCTTATAGGTAGGACAGGAGTCAGATTTTTAAAAACATAATAACTGACATAAATATCTAAATTTTAACCGGAAAATTATCCGTTTTGATTCATATATTATTTAAAAATTATTTTTAAATTATAATAAGACAAAAATCAATATTTGTAATTATTTTGGATATTTATCTGTTTTGTAGGAAAAAGGAAAATTTTTTCACTTTCTAAGGATAATCTCGAAAAATAAACGATTTGCGATCTTATGATGCATCAATAAGCATGATTGGTTCACAAGAGCTCAAAATTTCTAGTGAAAAACATTAAAAAAAAATAATAACTACTTAAATTAATATAACTTGGCATCGACGATAAAATAATTAACAATATTATTACTTAATAAATAATTACAGATAACAGTCTATCGAATTTATTTTGTTTCAATTGTCTGTACAATCATGAATAGAATACCTTTTCTTGTACTTAGTTTAATAGATTATGTAGATTGACTCTTTAGATATTAAATATAAGATAGCTGTGAAAACTTCTAATTGGCGACCTATAATATTTTTAAGTTAGATAAAATAATTGACAGATGTCTCAGACTTTACTCATCTTCATACGGTATTGTCCAAAAATAATAAGAATAGTAGTGGTTATTGTAAAGTCCTTTATTATACTATAAATAAATTGTGGATGTCTAAATTTTTAGAAAAAAATGTCGAAATTTACCCATTTTAAAAATCGTAATTTTTTAGTGGATATCGCCCATTTACGGGGAACCAGAAGAAAATTGTCAATTTTTAAGGGTAATGTCTTCAACTTGTGATCTTCTGACGTATTTTTGAGAATATTTGGTTCAGTGAGAGGTGAGAAAAATTATTGACAAACATAAAAAAAATAAAAATATATTCTTGGAAAAATTATTACCTTCTCATCTTCGCATCGAAGCAAAAATTAATACAATATTTATATTATTTTGGGAAATGTTATCAATTCTCATACAATATTTTATTTGGCATAACTTAAACAAATAACAAGAAGAATTTAATAAATGTCTGAGTAATTATTTTACGATGAAAAATCATTTATGAAGGGCAAGGTTAAAATATAATTCGTTAGAAACAATTTTTTTTAGAAAAATTGGAAATGATAGATTTGATAATGATTTTTTACAATTGCCATCCAGAGCGCAAACTCTGTAAATATTAATTTTTTCATACTCGTCGAAAATAGATAATTTCAATATTTTTATAATCAATTAAAATCTGTAAAATCATGAAAGGTCTATAAGTATTTGCGGTGGAGCTGGTGCTTAACTATGGTTTTAATACTACATAAAACAAACGTTCGTCGTTAATAAATCAATATGATGGTATTGCATAAAAAAGTAAGGCAAGTACACAACCTGTTTTGTTATCGATTATAACACGATGGAAATACTTTCAATAATGGACACTCACACTAATAATCATTTACTTCTCAGCAACGACATTGCGTTACACAAAAAACCACAAAATTGCCTATATTTGACCCTTTAAAAAAAGTTGATACCCAGATGCCTTAAAGTAAAGTAATGGAATATTTAAACAATAATATTATTTATAATTGTTTGCGTCACATTATAACGCACGAAAAATATTATAAAAAGTACAGTTGAGTAAATATTTTTGGGTTTTACTCTTATGAATAAAATGATTCATTTTTATACAAATTAAATTATAAATTATAAATACTTAGACAAGATTTTAATTATAAAAAATATGTTGTAGGAAATAATAACGTACATAATCGTAAAACTAAAATTGAAATTACAGTTTTATTAGATTGGAAATTAAAAATATATAATAATAATAATAAAGTATAGTTGGAATCCAGTATAGTGGATTAAAGGTATTGACTAAAGATTTATATTGATTGATAATTGAATTTGATTACAATCACTGTCTTAAAACACGTTGATGCGCATTTAAAAAAAAAAAGCATACATTAAATTATTTTTTACTTAGGAGACCGATTATTCATAGATGTCAGCGAAACGTTTTTTTATTTCAATCATATATTCCAATAAAAAATACTTTATTTTAATTATTTTAAATAATTTAGAATTATGCTCGTATTCCGTGGATATGCATTAATACCCAAAAACTTATTGAAATCAAATTTTCAGATAGTTTTTCATCTTAAAATACATTGTATATGCTTTAATTTCAATTAATGTAGATTTAAAAGGCAAGTTTTTGAAAAAAAATTATACCAAAATTATGATACAAATATGGAAACATATTATGTATGTTTAACTAACTCAAAATCAAGAAAACTATTGCACTAGTATTTTGGAAATTTTAATATAAAATTGGGAGTGAAACGCAAGTTTATTTATTTTTGTCTTTAGGAATTTATTAACAACACTTCTACTCCGCTCCTGTATAAAATACTTAAATCTTATATCTAAGACCCGGACTTAATTATTCTAAAAAACTTTGAAAAATGTCCTTAAAAAGACTTAAAATTGTTTTTTACAAAATGCCTTAACAATAATTGTTGCCTAATTATGCTTTACTATGTATTGAAATGACAATAATGCAAAATAAAAGTTTTATTTTTCAATTATCATTGTATAAATCAAATTTTGTGTTTGATAATTATTATTTATAATAATCTTTAAAAAATGCAATTTGAATTGATAACTAGACTGTATTTAAATAATATTAGTTCAAAAATTGACTATAACTGGTCATTTTCTTATAGAACATTTTATTTTTTTTAAGCAGGTTAAACATATACGTTTTCATATCAATAACTTAAGATAATAAAACTTTAAGGAGAAGGAAGGAGATACCACTACATTTATTTATTATTATTATACAATAAATAATTAAAGGATTATAAAAACTTCTAAAAAAGCATAGAATGTTATATATGTTCAAAGCTATTGCGTAATTAGTTAATTAATCACCTTCTCTTTTTAAAAATTTATGTATAATATACATACATATTCATAAAAACATATTCGTATTACTTTTTTTTTAATTGACTATTTTTACGAGAAGTGATTTATAATCCAGTAATTATGGTTAAAAACACCGATGTTGTTAATGTACAATGCTGTTGATTAAAATAAGTAAAATTTATTGATTTAGATGTAGTCATTTCTAATAAAAAAGTGGATAAATTTGATTAAATTCATAAAAATTACAAAAAAATACCTTATTTTTATATATTATTGAATGCGTAGAGTTATAAATTATGGCATAAAATCAATACAATTATAAAATAATCATCATTAATTATTATTATTTATTGCAGAACTATTTGTAAGCATAATATATGAATAGAAATATAATCATGTATCATAATAAAATAAATCATTTTATTATTATTTTTGCGATGTAAGATTAAATTTTTAGTTAAAAAATAAAAGTAAATGCACATCATGTATTTATCATGTGATATCTAAAATCAAATAATATAAATAATAAAAAAATGTCTAAATAACAATGCATATTTTCATCGTAGCAATTAGAAATAAATATATCATCGATTTCATTTTCATGTTTACAAACGGCTTCTTTTTTAATTTATTATTACCATCATTAAAATTTAATGATATATATATATATTCTATATTTAATATAGAATTATATGATTAATTATTATTAATTAAGTTGGTTTTAAAGTTTATAATATCATTTTTTATGTTACGTTAAAATATTAAGATCGTGTAGTTGCACAATAACTGGGGGTGATAATATATTAAAAAAATAATAATACAAAAATTGCTTTAAATGATTTTTCGTATCAAGCCAAAGATACTATTTTTAATACTTAATAATATTATTTATAATTATTATAATAAGAAGAATTTTGAAAAATTCTATGTTCGTATATTAAATAAAAAGTTTGTATGTTTAAAGTTTTGAACCTACCCAGTATAAAAGGAAGTGGTCCGATTTAAAAAAAAAAGAATTTAAGCTGATCTATAATTTTTTAAAAATAGTTATAGCAATATAAAGTCGAAATAATAAAATATGAAATCCGAAATTTTAACACAAACAAATTTTATGCTTTTATCTACGGCCGCCATTTGCACATAGAAAATAAGTTGTTGTGGCAAATTTTTTTTTAGCCTATAGTACGTAAAATAAGTTTTATTTTAACATGTTTGAAGTTCAGAGTATTTCAAGAATTAAAAAGAACTAATTATTAAATGCTTACTCATAAGGATTCTATCATAACTAATTATAGTAAAAAATATCAGCTTCCAAAATTGTTATTTTGATAGACGCAAAATCCATACTTTTAAATAATAAATTCTGCGTAGTAAATCATTAAAGGAAATTTAATTGGTATATTATCATTTGTTTAATTACTAATCTTAGATATTATTACAATAATCCAACGCCATTTTTAGTTCTGGGTTTCCTATTTGTTTATATCCTTTATATTTATCATCATTATACCCTTATTAGCTTCCATGCGAAGCTGAGAAGGTATTGGTTTTACTATGATGTGTTTTTTTTTTGTGTCTGTTACCACTTTTTCTCAGCTCTCACCAAAGCGATTTCTTTCAATGATACGTCAAAAGATCACAAATCGTATCTAATCGAAGACATTACCCTCAAAAATTTAAAAACATTCCCTCGTTCCCCGTAAATGAAGAAAACCTCCAAAAAAATTACAAATTTAAAAAAAGCTAATTTTCGAAATTTTTTCAATTTTTTTAACTTAAAATTTCCAAAACTTTTTTAAAAATAAGCAAATTAATATAATTTTTTTTATATAGATGCATGATATCATCTTTCATTTGGTATACTTTTTTTATAAATCTGACCCTTTACCTACCCACAGGGACGGATTTAAAATGACAACTTTTTCAACTTAACTTTTGAAAATGTTGTGGAAAGTCTGATACTTTTATATATATCTTAAATTAAAGCTAATGTAATATACTTTATCATGGAAAAAAATATTTCGGGTTTTATTTTGTTTTCATGGTGAAAATGGCTACCAAATGCTATTTTTGTGTGAAAATTCTCGATTTTGTATTTTACATTTTTAATTTTTTAAAAAATATATGGATCAATACAATTTTTTAATGAAAAGTAGTATTTATATACATATTTCATTTGACATACTGTTTTTTTTAATCGGACTATTTCCCTATATACGAGGGGGCTTCTAATCTAAAAAATGCATATAGAAAGTAGAACTTTGTCAACTTAACTATTGAAAGTATTCCGGAAAGTCTGACACTTTTATATAAATCTTAAATTAAAGCTAATGTAATATATTTTATTATGGAAAAAATACAATTTCGGACTTTATTTTGTCTTTACGGTGAAAATGGCTACAAAATGCTATTTTTGTATGATAATTCTCGATTTTATTTTTTATATTTATGCCTAACTAGCCTAAAAATAATAAAATGACAAGTGGTCAAAAACTTTTAAACCAATAATTTGGAAGTGATTAATAATTTTTATACTAGAATGAGAAAAGTAGTGTGGTTTATAAATATCTAGATAATAAAATATACTGATCTGCTTTACCTCAAATCTTTATAGTTAAGTCCATTACAATGAACTTACTTATACATTTTCCTTATAATTTAGCTGGTTCAACATATATGATTTTATTTTAAAAACTTAAGTTTATATCATTTTTAAGGGATAGAGGATTGATAAAATTAATTTTTTTAAATTGTTAAACATAGGATACTATTGACTTTTAAAAAAAAAAACATTATAATACGTTTGATACATTTAAAATTATTGCGTGAGGAATAGTTAATCATTAATTAACTAAGCTTCATGCATTTGATTAATAATTAATCAATCTGTATTTTTGGATAGATTGTTTTTTTGTAAAATATTTTACGATTTGAAATAATATTTTTTACATTTATTTATGTTTTTGAAAAATAAAGTATTACAAATTAATAAAACAAGCAAGTGTTATTCAACATCATCATAAGTTTGTAAACCTATATATTAGTTTATAATTTTTTTAGTTTTATTAAACACAAGTAGATTTTTTTTATCGTTTAAATACTATATCTATTTGATCTCAGTAAGTTTTTTTTATATTATTTTAATCATTCGAATTCTTATTATTAAATTATTATATAATTCAGTGCAGTTATTGGCAACATATAAATCATATAACCAATATATATAAATCAGTGAATTTTTTTTTTGTTATTATAATTAAGTTATACATTTTTTTATTAGAATTTTAATAAGTCGAATATTTATTTTAAATAAGTTATTAGTGACCTTTTTATATTTAATATCAAAATTATTATTATAAAAAAACATATTATAATATTATTTAAAAAAAATTTAATTTTATCAATTAATCTAATATAGCATAATTAAGTGATAGACTAGTTGAAACTAAATTATATATACTACACTATTATAGAGCAATTTACATTTATATTAATCTTTTCTATTGAGAATATTTTTCAACTGATTATAATTAAATTATATTTAATTATATAACTATAAATATATTTGTAGAACATATATAAATTCTTAGTCTATCCTTAATTATGAAATAAAAAAAAAAATATTTCTGGGACGTAATTAATAATTGGGCTGCCTGGGTATTATTTATAGAGATAAAATGATGATAACATTTTTGTTTATATTTAGGTACTTTAAATATGAGAGTGACAAGCATAATATTATTTTGTGTATTTTCCGCTATTGCTAGTCTATCATTCACTCAAAATCCTGTTTTAGTTAAAGGTATAAACAATATGAATTATTTATTATTTTCGTTTTTATAAAAATTTTAATTTTAAGGTTTTTTTTTTTGGTAGACTGTTAACTAGTATTTTTCCATACTAAATTAATCAAAGTATTTTTGACGAGTAAACATTGAGTATGAATAGTCTACCACCATAAGAATTTTGTGTATAGTAAGGGGCGGTAATATGATAATTTTTAAATAGCTATATAAAACTTACAAATATTTTTTTTCAATATTTACTAAAAAAAAGAAAATCTTAAAACTGGTTCTGTAAATTTACACAGACATTAAAATTTAAAAATAATGAAACAAATAGGAATATTATGAGTGACAGTAAAAATGATGATAAATGAATCATTAATTTTATAATTATTGAAAATAGAAAAAAAAATGTTAAACAGATAAACTAAATACAGATGAACATAAAATATTCCTGCTTTCTTACGTTTCCGAATCTTGATATTGTATTTGGATTTTTTTTCCAAAATAGGATAAAAAATACTTAATATTTTCTAAGTTTAGTTTTGAAGTGAGTTATTTATTTTATGATTTTTAGGCGATCAACAGGAAAATGAAGACCATAAACCGCTCTAATAAAGGGTCCTAATTAATACAATAAAATAAAAAATGTACGATTATTTATGTCATATTAATTACAACTTAAAAGTAAAGTAATATACTTAAATGTAATAATAAATAAATATACATAATGTGTATTATTTTCTATTATTTTTCTGTATAATTTAAAAAATTCCATAAATTATACAATATGTTTAATATTTACTATATACATATGTTTGTTTGCATTGCATAAAAACAACGGATACATTAGTATAATATTTTATAAAAATCGTATGTTTATAATAAATATAAAAAACAGTCACAAAATTATAAAATATATTCAGATGAGATGTAATGAGATAAAAATTTATGAAAAATCTTATATTTCAATAAATAAAAATTGAATTGTTTAACCATGATGAAGACTAATTAAATAGATAAATAAATAAAATTAATTATTTATAGTTAAAGCAACAATAGATCATTGAAAGTGACTAGAAATTTTTTTTATAAATTGACATTATTATTACAATTTAACATTAATAATATTCGTTATTTTACATATAAAAGAACATAAGATCTATAAATAAAATAACTAACTTGTTTATGTAATAAATTTAAATTTTCAAAGAATTATTTACAACACCTATAATGATTTTCGATGAATATCAAATGCATTTAAATAACGTATTTTATAATTGTTATCATTAGTATTACATAAAGTAAAAATTAATTTCTATGTTCTAATTACACGTACATTCTATATAACTAACTATAAATTTAAGACTTCAATTATATGTATCATAAATATCGAGATTCTATGAAATTTCAATACACCATTTAATACTTATTAGCTTACTAAGTAATAAGTCATTATCATTAAAAAAAGATATTAATGGATTTAACACAAAAAACATAATAACTAGAAAATTATAAAAGTATAAAGATCCAAGTCAGACGTTGAATGATTTAGATGCTACAGATTTCCTTGAGCCAATATATTTTTACATCCTTAACCATAATTAATCAAAACTATTGTGCACATTTAATAAAAATGTTATCCTTTAATAGAGGTATAGATCTTTGTTGTAGACTAACTATAATTATCATATTTTTTTAGTTATTTCTCCTTAAAATTATGTAGTACCCTGTGTCATTCCATGCTAGTACACCCCTGGTCTAAGTGGAATTTTTAATATATCAAACTCTAAGACATTACTTTTAAATAATTATTACACAATCTTCTTTTTGAATAAAAATTTTTGTACCGTTAATTGGTAAAAAAAAAAAAAAATTATTTCACATTTTAAGACAAAAGTTCAGTCAGTGAAAAACCCAATTATAACTTTTTCTAAATTATCTATCAGTGTTGATATTAATAAGCACCTGCTATAAATTTTAAAGTTGAATCAATACATTTCTTGAAATTCTTTTATTATTATACTAACACTAACAATTCAAACTAGTAGATCTGTACAGTATTTAAATTAAATTTAATAGTACTGATTAACATTTTTTATCATTAAATTTACCAAAAAAAAAAGTAAACGGTATCTAATGAAGTTTAAAATTTTAACCGCGTACTCTGCGTGTTATTGTTTTTAGGAATGAATTTCGACTATGAAAAGAATAATGATAGTCTACAACGCCCTTACAAAACCCTTAATCTAAGTATTTAATAAATCATTAAAAATTCTGGCGATTCGTGAAATTCAATTTGCTTACTTATACAGAATATAAGTAACTATGTCTCACGTAATATCTTTAAAAATACAAGTGTTATAAACAATTTTTTTTTTAATCATTATAGATCTTTATAAGGTGTTTTATAATATAAATAAAATTTCTACCACTATCTCTTATGCTTAAAACTTGTATCAACTTCATATATTCAAATAGCAACTCTATTTTCTTTTACATCATTAGATTAAGTTTAATTAAAAAAAAATGTTTTGTAAAAAAAATATTTTATTTTATTTAATATTAATCGCTCCACGGCTCTCTAAAGTTTAAGGTTTATTAAAAAATATTATAACAGTCTCGAACGTTATAGGTCGTAAATCAATAAGCACTACCAGTTTTATAAATAAACATACTAAGCTTTCCTTAGTTATTCTGACTACGTGCTTTGACAGTAAACCGGTAGCTCTTATCGCTACATAAAATAAAAATGTGACCGTGTTGGAAAAACTACTGCAATTTTTTATCAAATATCGTTAATGTTAAAGTAGTGTATCTTGTTTAAAATTCATAATTTTCAATTTTTTTTGCAAACATTATTTTTTTTTTTTATGACAAACAAAAAAAATGTATAAAAATAATATGGGGTTGCCATTTGAAAGTCTGAAGTTTATAAAAGTTATAAGTATAAAGGATGATGATAGAAATTTAATTTTTCTTGGGCAACTGCTCATCAAAGATCCATAATTATTTAAAAAAAATTGTGTTAAAACACTTGTATTTTTAAAGATATTACGTCAGACACACTTAGTCGATCTTCCTGTATATAATTTTAAGACATTAATATAACTCTCGTTGTTATAAGTTTCTTTTCAACTTTGACATTCATTTAAAAAACATTTAAAGCCAAGTTTCTTTTATCATGTCTGACGCTTTTTCGCCTATCATGTACACCATCGAGTTAGTGTGGCCGGCCGGAATGACTGGCATAATGGAGGCATCGACTACTCGCAAACCTTTAATACCTCGAACGCGTAACTTGGGATCCACAACCGCGTCTGGATCAGAGTCAGGCCCCATTTTACACGTCCCAACTTGATGATGTAAGTTGGTAGACACCATGCTAGTTGTGCACCACCAGTAAGCATCTGACCCGAAAGGTTCATGTTCACAACCTGGGAATGGTACTGGCAACAATTTAGAACCGTATTTTTGAAAAGCTTTGGTTTCGCTCACAGCAATAGCCTAAAAACATAAAAAATTTATTTAGAAAAATATTACTTAGATTTATTATAAATCCATATATAAAGTACTAGAAAACTTAACACTGGTATAATTTTTTCCATAATTTATGTAAAACTATTTATATTAAAAAAATGATTAATTTATAATTACTAATATCATAATTTACAGTATATTATCAGTTATAAAACCCTATAGGGCCGTAATAATGTAATAATGTCGTTCATGTAAAAAACTCCAAATTTTATTCATAACTGAATATTAGTATTTGAAATTGACTTTTATGATATATAGTTTTGATTATTTTTTATTTTATTTTATATTATACATAAAAGATTTGCAAAGATATTCGTTGGAAAAAAAACTTTTTTGTTAAAATTTTTTTTTGTCTGATAGCATGAATCAATTTACTGCCTAATAAAGAAGCCATTTTTTAAAAACATGTACACTTTTTTTCTAATCACTTATAAACTTAAAACTGGGTTTAGTCGTTAAAAATCGAATATGAAAAAAAATTTAACAAAAAGGTTTTTTTTCCAATTAAATAAAATTAATAATATAAAAAAAAATTGGGACTGCTATTAAAAAAACTACAGTTGATACTAGTTTAGGTTATAATAGATGATAGAAGATTATTAATTTTTCGTGTTAAGAAGCTCAAAAAAGGTCTAATATTTTCGAAGATATTTCGTAAGGTAAACAGTACATCTATACAACTAAATATTTAGACCACCTCTACCAATAATAACAAAATACTTTAGTAAAAAGTAGAAAAATACCTTACTAAATCCTTTGAAGTTTTATGAATTTATAATTATATGTTATTCTTATATGGGTAATATCATATTTGACGGATAAACACAATTATAATTTTTGTAAGACATTTACTAACCATTCAAGATTTTTCTAAAGTCATGTGAGGAAAATGTAAATTCATGAAGTAAATGTAAATTATTTACTCATCTTAGAATATTTTGTAGATTTTACTATAGTTAAGATAATTCGAATCCTCAAGTATATAGTTATTTTTATAAGTATAAATAAAAAATGAACACTTATGCATCTGATTTTAAAAACATCTTTACTATTACCCTTTTTTATTGTATTTATTCCACTTGAACCAAAATTATATTTAGGTTAATATTTTAAACCTATTGTTTTCGAATATAATTTGTCAGACATAGCTAAGGAATTTCCCTGTATTTCTATCGTTTCATTATAATTTGGAAAAAATTTAAAAGGAATTAAGAATAATATAATATTTATTTATGAACAAAAGAAATAAAAATTCTACAATTATTGTGTGTAAGTGATATATCTATAAAGTGTTATTATCCTCTTTGCTCTTCTTGGAAACGCCTTTCAATATTGGAAGTAAATAATATTTAGGTAATATTTATTTTAGCTAAATTATTTCATATTAAACATTACAAAATATTATTATGAATGTCGATTAAAGTTAATATATAATTATTAATTAATAATATTGTAAAACAAAATCTCTAATTTAATTAAGTTTTAATATGGAAAGAAAATCTACGGTAAAAATGATATTAAAACAATACACATTTTCAAAAGAAAAATATGTTTTTGAATTTAATAAAAAAAAATAATTTAAGAAATCCAAAATGAAAATAACAAGCAATAATGTTGTCTATTGATTATTAAATAAATATTGAGTAATAAATTTGTCAAGTGAAAATGTGATAAATGTTATTCAAGTTAGTATGATTTAATTAAATATTTAGACACACTACTATTAAAATTTATTGCTAAATTGTTGTGAACCGTTTAAAAACACAATTTTGTAAAATTGACATTAAAAAAATTATTTGTAAATTTCTATACATGTCTTATAATAATTAAAAAAAATAAAAATATTTATTATAATGATGAAGAAATATATGCTTTTTTGAGAAACATAAGTCACCTACTTTGAAAATGCCAATACACTAAAAAAAGTAGGTTTTATATGTATAATATTTCGAAATTTTCTCATTGTATTACAAACATTTTGTGAGTATGTTACTCCTACATAATGTTTAAATTGTTCGTTTAAAAACAACAATCGAAAATATCTAATTGAAGGTCACTATAAGAATTAGCATAAAAAATGGGACAAGATCTCAGCATGAATCTTTAGCTTCTAATTTATCGATGAAATCTGGCAGTATATTTAACAAATAAATTTTACTGCTGGCATGAAAAAATTATTTGACCTTTCAAAGAATACTTAATTCTTTTTAACAGCAAATAAATATTTTACAACATTATTAAATCTTAAATATTAAAAAATGGTATGTGATTAATTTTTTCCCCTTAAGATTTAGTAATGTAATTTGCAATTGTGTAATATTGCGTAATATACGAACGTTATGAATGTTATTAAAACTTCATATTTAACTGAAGATTAAATCATCTAACATATTTTATGTACATTGTAAGCTCGCAATTTTTGTTATTTATAATAATGAAAAACAAATAACAATTAAACATAATTATTAAACTCTTCGAATTAAATTACGCCATGCTGTTAGTAAAATTATGTTTTAATCTGTGACACTAATTTAATTTAAAGTGTATACAAATATACTATTTTTATTAATTTTTACAATTAAAAAGCTTATTAAATATAAAGTTTTAATTGTAATAATAAACGACTGGACGAACTATAGCTTGTACAGTTATAGTTTGTCCACCAATAGTTCATAGATTCAATTAAGTACAAAAGTTAACATAGCAATACTTAAATGACGTAATAAAATATTTAATTCCAAACAAAATATATACTTAAAATTTAAGTTCATTGTCCCGTGAAAAGTACTTAATGCATCTGAAGTAAGGCGTAGTTTCAAAGAACATTTTAACGATAAGTAAATCTTAATCTTACTCTCATATTAAACAACCTTGACCTTCAAGATAAAAAAGTAAAGAAAGAAAATAAGTTTGATTCTTCAATAAAATAATTTCTTATCCAAACATGATATAATACAATATTGTAATCTGTTACACGTCAATCAATAAAACAAATAGTTTACACATTGATCACGTGTGTATAAAAAAATTTTATTTATAAGTTCATAACAATATTTGTATATATATATATATATATATATATATATATATATATATATATATACATAAACACATATACAAGAGAGGATAGGATCAATACAATTATTATTTTTTTTAATGTCCTCTTTTCAAAAATATGAGTTACTTTAACAGAAATAGTGAAACGGTCCTCCAATAATTTCTTTGGTATCCTAACCTCCTTATGTAAAACTATGATTTTTTTAGTTCTTTAAGCATAAAATATAGAAAATACAAATTTTTCAGTAAGACTCAGTATTTCTTTTAAGTTTTACAAAAAAGTAGCGTTCCTTATGATACGACATTTTTTACGCCTGAATTAAATTTAATTATAAATTGTACTCCGCTAAGTCACAGTATAACTTATGATAATCTATGAGCAAATAATATTGCTATACACTATCTTTGTAATAGAAACAGTACGTAAAAATTGAATTTCACGCAATCAATTAATTAATTGAATTCAATTTGTTATTATTTAATTATGAATAATCAATCGGTATAATAATGTGATACGAAATACTTAAATTTAATAACCGATTATTTTTAAGCATATCTATTAATCATTTATATTTCATTTAAGAGCTCACTAAATTTTGAAATATAACCTTAAATGTAATAGTATTCATCTAAAATTTGATTTAATAATTAAATCAATTAATTATATTAGAATAATTAGAAAAATATAAAGGGACTATTTTCAAAAAAACTAATTTTTAAGAAAAACTTTATGTAGATTACTTTTGTTAGAATGTTATTATGTAAAATATTCACTGTAATATATTGCAGTGACATATTTTACATAACACGTAATGCAAGCTCATATATCGCCAAACCAGTTTAAAAATATACTAAACGATTACTCAATAAGAACAATGATAAACATATTTAAATAATTCAAGATATATTCAGGGTGATTTTTTTAATATTATCCACTAGATTTTTCTTAAAATAATAATTATATTAAGAAAATTCTTTTTGTTATACTTTAATTTTATATATTTATCAGCTTATTAATGATTAAATATGTCTGTAATTCATCCTATATACCTTATAAGGGTGTCAACTTAATTTTTTATATGGCAACATAAATTATTTACTAGCTTATAAAATAAAAAATGATCTAATTAAAAAATAACTGATCAATAATAACTTTCAGAATTTATAACTATTTTAAAATATCTATTTTAATAATACATAATAATATTTTTTTAAATATATTATTTTTATCATTACAAAATACTCTATGGCATTCTTTCTCCACTCTACACTTTAAAATTTAAAAAAATTCCGAAATAATGGGTCAAAAATTGTTATTGACCAATCATTTTCTTAATTGGATGTTATTTTATTCTATAAGCTAATTAAATATATATGTTACCAATTGAAAAAAAAAATATTAGATACCCTCATAAAGTTATATAAGATCAGTTAATAAACTACAAAACTATAGATAAATTGAGTATACATGAAAATATAAAATTCCAAAAATAAATTTCTTCATATAATTATTATTTTAAAAGAAATCGAGTGGCAATTATTAAAAGAATCACCATGTATAACAAATACATGGTGTCACATAAACGTATTTAGGTTTTAACTAACAAGAGTATTTAACTAAGCGAATTTAAAAACAATTTATTTAGAAAAGCAGTTTTTTATATCTATAATAAATATGACTTTAGTTATTAAAATAGTTATGTGTAAAATACTTAGTAAATACAGAAACTAATCTAGGCTTATGAGTATCAAATGAACTTTTTGATACCTATTTGGTATACGGTTAATAAAAGTACGTTTATGGAGAATATATTTTATAATTGTTAGCCTAAGGGGTAACATATGTAACACTATTTTTCAAGGTTTGTCAGACGCGAAGACGATACTTTTGCTGAATGACCGGTCAATAG